GGACGTGAACATGGACGTGAACATGGACGTGGGCGTGGACGTGGACGTGGACGTGGACATGGACATGGACGTGGACATGGACGTGGACGTGGACGTGGACATGGACGTGGACGTGGACGTGGACGTGGACGTGGACGTGGACGTGGACGTGGACGTGGACGTGGACGGGGACGTGGACGCCGACGCGGACGTGGACGCGGACGTGGACGTGGACGTGGACGTCGACGTGGAGGACTTGGACGTGGACGTGGACGTGGACGTGGACGTGGACATGGACGTGGACATGGACGTGGACGTGGACATGGACGTGGACGTGGACATGGACGTCGACGTGGACGTGGACGTGGACGTGGACGTGGACGTCGACGTGGACGTGGACGTGGACGTGGACATGGACGTGGACGTGGACGTGGACGTGGACGTGGACGTGGACATGGACATGGACATGGACGTGGACATGGACATGGACGTGGACGTGGACGTGGACGTGGACATGGACGTGGACGTGGACATGGACGTGGACGTGGATATGGACGTGGACGTTGACGTGGACGTGGACGTGGACGTGGACGTGGACGTGGACATGGACGTGGACGTGGACGTGGACGTGGACATGGACGTGGACCTGGACGTGGACGTGGACGTGGACGTGGACGTGGACGTGGACGTGGACGTGGACGTGGACGTGGACGTGGACGTGGACGTGGACGTGGACGTGGACGTGGACGTGGACGTGGACGTGGACGAGGACTTGGACGTGGACATGGACATGGACGTGGACGTGGACGTGGACATGGACGTGGACGTGGACGTGGACGTGGACGAGGACTTGGACTTGGACGTGGACGTGGACGTGGACGTGGACATGGACGTGGACGTGGATGTGGACGTGGACATGGACGTGGACGTGGACATGGACGTGGACGTGGACGTGGACGTGGACATGGACGTGGACGTGGACGTGGACATGGACGTGGACATGGACGTGATGTGGACGTGGACATGGACGTGGACGTGGAGGTGGACGTGGACATGGACGTTGACGTGGACGTGGACATGGACGTGGACATGGACGTGGAGTACTTGGACGTGGACATGGACATGGACGTGGACGTGGACGTGGACATGGACGTGGACGTGGACGTGGACGTGGACGTGGACATGGACGTGGGCGTGGACGTGGACGTGGACGTGGACGTGGACGTGGACATGGACGTGGGCGTGGACGTGGACGTGGACGTGGACGTGGACGTGGACGTGGACGTGGACGTGGACGTGAACGTGGACGTGGACATGGACGTGGACGTGGACGTGGACATGGACGTGGACGAGGACGTGGACGTGGACATGGACGTGGACGTGGACGTGGACGTGGACATGGACGTGGACGTGGACGTGGACATGGACGTGGACGTGGATGTCGACGTGGACGTGGACGTGGACGTGGACGTGGACGTGGAGGACTTGGACGTGGACGTGGACGTGGACGTGGACGTGGACGTGGACGTGGACGTGGACGTGGACGTGGACGTGGACGTGGACGTGGACGTGGACGTGGACGTGGCTTGGACGTGGACGTGGACGTGGACGTGGACGTGGACGTGGACGTGGACATGGACGTGGACGTTGACATGGACGTGGACGTTGACATGGACGTGGACGTGGACGTGGACGTGGACGTGGACATGGACGTGGACGTGGACGTGGACGTGGACGTGGAGGACTTGGACGTGGACGTGGACGTGGACGTGGACGTGGACATGGACATGGACGTGGACGTGGACGTGGACGTGGACATGGACGTGGACATGGGACGTGGACATGGACGTGGACGTTGACATGGACGTGGACGTGGACGTGGACGTGGACGTGGACATGGACATGGACGTGGACGTGGACGTGGACGTGGACATGGACGTGGACGTGGACGTGGACATGGACGTGGACGTTGACATGGACGTGGACGTGGACATAGACGTGGACGTTGACATGGACGTGGACGTGGACGTGGACGTGGACGTCGACGTGGACGTGGACGTCGACGCACGTCGACGTCCACGTCCACGTCGACGTCCACGTCCACGTCCACGTCCACGTCCATGTCAACGTCCACGTCTATGTCCACGTCCACGTCCATGTCAACGTCCACGACCATGTCCACGCCCACGTCCACGTCCATGTCCACGTCCACGTCCACGTCCACGTCCATGTCCATGTCCACGCCCACGTCCACGTCCACGTCCACGTCCATGTCAACGTCCACGTCCATGTCCACGCCCATGTCCACGTCCATGTCCACGTCCACGTCCACGTCCACGTCCATGTCCATGTCCACGTCCACGTCCACGTCCACGTCCACGTCCAAGTCCTCCACGTCCACGTCCACGTCCATGTCAACGTCCACGTCCATGTCCACGTCCACGTCCACGTCCACGTCCACGTCCATGTCAACGTCCACGTCCATGTCCACGTCCACGTCCATGTCCACGTCCACGTCCACGTCCACGTCCACGTCCACGTCCACGTCCAAGTCCACGTCCACGTCCACGTCCACGTCCACGTCCACGTCCACGTCCACGTCCACGTCCACGTCCACGTCCACGTCCACGTCCACGTCCACGTCCACGTCCAAGTCCTCCACGTCGACGTCCACGTCGACGTCCACGTCCACGTCGACATCCACGTCCACGTCCATGTCCACGTCCACGTCCACGTCCATGTCCACGTCCACGTCCACGTCCACGTCCATGTCCACGTCCACGTCCTCGTCCACGTCCATGTCCACGTCCACGTCCACGTCCATGTCCACGTCCACGTCCACGTCCACGTCCACGTCCACGTCCACGTCCACGTCCACGTCCACGTCCACGTCCACGTCCACGTCCATGTCCACGTCCACGTCCACGTCCACGTCCACGTCCACGTCCACGCCCACGTCCATGTCCACGTCCACGTCCACGTCCACGTCCACGTCCATGTCCACGTCCACGTCCACGTCCATGTCCATGTCCACGTCCAAGTACTCCACGTCCACGTCCATGTCCACGTCCATGTCCACGTCCACGTCAACGTCCATGTCCACGTCCACGTCCACGTCCACGTCCATGTCCACGTCCACATCAACGTCCATGTCCACGTCCATGTCCACGTCCACGTCCACGTCCATGTCCACGTCCACGTGCACGTCCACGTCCATGTCCACGTCCACGTCCATGTCCACGTCCACATCCACGTCCACGTCCATGTCCACGTCCACGTCCACGTCCACGTCCAAGTCCAAGTCCTCGTCCACGTCCACGTCCACGTCCACGTCCATGTCCACGTCCACGTCCACGTCCATGTCCATGTCCACGTCCAAGTCCTCGTCCACGTCCACGTCCACATCCACGTCCACGTCCACGTCCACGTCCACGTCCACGTCCACGTCCACGTCTAGGTCACGTCCACGTCCACGTCCACGTCCACGTCCACGTCCACGTCCACGTCCAGGTCCACGTCCATGTCCACGTCCACGTCCACGTCCACGTCCATGTCCACGTCCACGTCCACGTCCACGTCCACGTCCACGTCAACGTCCACGTCCATATCCACGTCCACGTCCATGTCCACGTCCACGTCCATGTCCACGTCCACGTCCACGTCCACGTCCATGTCCATGTCCACGTCCATGTCCATGTCCATGTCCACGTCCACGTCCACGTCCACGTCCACGTCGACGTCCATGTCCACGTCCACGTCCACGTCCACGTCCACGTCCACGTCCACGTCCACGTCCACGTCCACGTCCACGTCCATGTCCACGTCCACGTCCATGTCCACGTCCACGTCCATGTCCACGTCCATGTCCACGTCCACGTCCACGTCCACGTCCACGTCCAAGTCCTCCACGTCGACGTCCACGTCCACGTCCACGTCCGCGTCCACGTCCGCGTCGGCGTCCACGTCCCCGTCCACGTCCACGTCCACGTCCACGTCCACGTCCACGTCCACGTCCACGTCCACGTCCACGTCCATGTCCACGTCCACGTCCACGTCCATGTCCACGTCCATGTCCATGTCCACGTCCACGTCCACGTCCACGCCCACGTCCATGTTCACGTCCATGTCACGTC